GAGTGTGGAGGTCAGACGCCCACCTCTGCCATTGGAGGAGCGAATCAGCAGACAGATCTCTTGTTCCCTGTCTCTCCCTGCAACTTGAAACACCAAGAACATACCCATGCGCACAGGTGTGCACAGGTGCAGTTATTTACTGTGTTTAGTGTTTTTTTTTTTAATTATTATTGTTTACTGTTATTTAGTGTTCCGGGGTCCTCTTCGGTCCTCTGGCTGAATCAGGAAAGAGCCAATCAGCAGGAAGGGAACGGCCCCGCTCAGTGGCCTTCTGCCTTTCCCTGGCCTCTGCTGCAGCAGGAGGCACAAGTTTTATTCCATTTTGACCGAAAAGTGACACTGACTTTTCAAAGCAGACTTTGCAGTGGAAGGAAAACGAAGCAAGCAGCAGACGGTGGTGCAAGGAACCCTACCCCTGTAAGCAGGCGGGCAGGGCGAGGGCGAGGAGCTGTCCCTCGGGCCTCCAGTCAAGCCGCCTGCCGCAGGCCGTGTGCCATTCGTCCTCCCCTGGCCTCCGAGCACATCTCAGGGGGTTCCTGAAACGATTCACGGCTGAGAAGAACAGCTAACCTGGAAAAAGTAAAGCTGCTGCCACTGGAACTGACGGCCAGAAGTGGCAAGAAGCAGAGAGAAGCAGGACCATTGTTCCGAACGGGAACTCCTCCCGCTTCGCAGACACGCGTAATTTTCTCATGAGATACAAGAAAGCTTGGTCCTCAGGTCTGCACAGTGATACCCAAATGCACAACCATCATCGGGAAAGTTAAGTCCTGAAACTCGCCACTCCACGACCCCCAGACTACTGCCCAGGGGATGGGGCCTCATACCCTGAGCTGCCCCTACAGCCTCCTGACACAGCTGCCAGTTCCACAGACACGTGAATTTGATCATCCTTGGTCAGGCACAGCAGAGCATTCAGAGCTCAGGGGGTCAATGGTCCATTCACCTCTCAGTTCAGGTCCCAACTGAGGCACTCAAGGCCGTGTGACAGCCACTTAACACGAGCCTCACTCAGCTCTTGCACGGGAAGAAAAAGAGAACTTACTTAAAGGACTGCTGTATAGTCAGACTTAATAATACACTTACAGGACTTAGCAAGGACTCAGTGAAAACTAAATTGTGACCAGGGTGGATGCTATGGCCCAACAGGTGACACCCCCTGGCAGGTAATACCTGCCGTCCCATGTCCAAGCACCAGTTCCAGTCCCAGCTCCTTCACTTTGGGTCCAGCTTCCTGCTAACACACTCTAAGAAACAGCAGACAGTAGCTCAAGCACACGGGCCCCTGCCATCCAGATGGGAATCCCAACAGACCAACTGCCTCCTGATTTCCACTTGGCTCAGCCCTGGCTGGTGCGGGCATTGGGACAGTGAATCAGCAGACGCAAAATCTGTCTCTCTATTTGTCCCTGCCTTTCAATTAGATGAAAATAAAATAAACAAACACTAAAGAAATAAAATAGGCTAAGACTGGCCACAGGCTAAATTCATCAAAACAGAAGAACAGAGCAAGCTGGAAGTGACCACGCTACCCCAATACAAAGGTGGGTTAGATAACTGGGTGCACGAATCATCAAATAGTAAGCTCAAGGGAGCAAACCTCCTCCAGGTCTGGGGCCACTTGGGGTTCCTGGGCCTATTCTGAGTTGTCCAGATACCTGTAGATTCAACGAATGAGGGCCTGGCACAATGGCCTAGTGGCTAAATCCTCACCCTGCACCTGCCAGGATCCCATATGGGTGCCAATTCACATCCCAGCTGCTCCACTTCCCATCCAGGCTTCCTTCCTGTGGCCTGGGAAAGCAGTAGAGGAAGGCCCAAAGCCTTGGGACCCTGTAACTATGTGGGAGACCCAGAAGAAGCTCCTGGCTCCTGGCTTCAAAATTGGAACTCAGCTCCAACCACTGCAGCCACTTGGGGAGTGAATCAGTGCATGCAAGATCAAGATCTTTATCTCTCCTTCTCTCTGTAAATCTGCCTTTCCGATTATATATATATATATATATACACACATACAGCAGCCCGATTATATATATATATATATATACACACACATATATATATATCTTTTTAAAAATATTAAAAAATAAAATGAGTGAATGAATGATTAAACAAACGGAGAAAAACTTTCAGGAAATCATGCAGCAACTTAGGGCACAGTCAGAACAATGTGTAAGGGCGGGCCTCAGCATGTGGACGCTACCATGACGGCTGATCATCTTGAAGGCTGGGACGACGCTGAGCCCAAGATCTCCCTTGGGCCCCAAGCCCAACAGAGGGGCATCTTCACAGTCAAGGATGGCAACACGAGGCCTTCTGGCCTCATGTCATCCCTGGTCTGGCTCAGTGACACTGCGGCTCTTGACCACTTGCCCACTTTTCACTTCTGCATCCTTATCTCCGAGACAGAAGCTAATTTCCATATCACCGCTGTGGGCAACAGAAAAGCGAACATATGAAAAGCCCCTAGAAGAAAGCCGGGTCAAAATGAACATGCTATGTACTACTTGCTGCTGTTGATGATTGATGCTGGGCTAAAAAAAGAAATCAAAAAGGAACAAAGATCTAAAAATACCACCTGAAACCTTGGAGCGACCAGAGGCAACAGGGGAGATGCTTCAGGCTGCTGGGGTGGGGCTTCTTAGATCAGACCCCCCAGAGCACTGGAGGAAGAGCCAAAAATAGATCAATAAGATTTCACCAAGTGCCGAGCAAAGGGAGCAACAGGGTCAAGAGACAACTCACACAACAGGGAAAAACACTCGCAAGCCTGGCCTTTGCCACGGGAATTAACAGATGTAACAGGAGCGCAGCACATACACAATGCAACAGCATTTTTTCAAAGAATCTACACAATCCAGTTTCAAAAAGGGCAGTATTATCTAAACAGACATTTTCTAAAGGGAGACATATACAAGTGACCAGTGAGTACAGGAGGAAAATGCTCATCATTATCTCCCAGAAATGCCAATCAGAGCCATAATGGGCATCACCTCCTTCAGACCGGCCATTATCGAAGACAAAAAGTGGCAAGTGCTGGCCAGGAAGTGGGTACAGAAAAGGGAACCCTTCTGTGGGTTGGGAGTGTGAGTAAAGTTATTGTGGAAGATAACAAGGAAGTTGCTCAAAAAAAGAGAAATAGACCTGCCACCCAGTCCAACAGTCCCATCCCTGGGCATCTGCCCAAGGCGAGGGAGAGACGGCAGTACCCCCATGTGGACTGCAGTGCTGCCTCCAGCAGCCAAGGACTGCTCACAACCTATATGTCAGGAGGAACAGGGGGCCCTATGTTACATGAAATAATCCCACCAGACAGAGACCCCGCGTGATCACTCCCACAGGCAATGCAGAAAGTGTTGGTTTCAGGCAACCCAAAACCCAGAGGCCAGCAAGGTCTATGGTTTAGGCGGAGAGAAAGAGCAGGTGCGGTCCTGCAGCAAAGCAGGGACCCCAGGGGTGGCTGTGTACTGGGGTCTCCCTGCTGGGACACAAGCGGCCTGCGGGGTGGCGTCTGTGCCCCCTCAGGAATGAGCCCAGTGACTATGGGCCACAGCCGATGCAGAGGTCAAGATCTAGAGCTTTCTGTGCCCTTGCCCCCTTCCTGTAGGCCAATGCCTACAGGGGAGCAAGGACAAGGAGATGACACCCTTGACCCACTGTGCCCAGTCCTGGCCCTGGGATTCCCCACAGTGTCAGGCTGTGCTCAGATAATCTGAAATGATGGAATTCTGAGCCACCCTTCTTCCCTTTTGAAAAAGGAAAGTATATCACTTTTTGACCTTTTGGCTAAGATCAAGTGTGAAAGGGAAAGTATAGCAACAGAGAATGAGAAAAGAGATTTTCCATTGAACGTTTCACTTACCCCTCAACAGCCTGGTCTGGCCAGCAGAAAGCCAAGAGCCAGCAGCCAGGACCTCCATCTTGGCTTCCCATCCATCCCCTACTGTCTCTAAGCTCCTAACCAGACAGAGCAGCGGGGACTGGAACCAGGCACTCTGAGCAGAAGCTTGGCCTCTTGCTCGACACCTGCCCAGAATATGCTTCTTAAGCTACACCAAGAATGTCAAACTATCATGGCTGTGGCAAAATCGTCTTCCACGGTCTTCCTGTTTTAGGGATAACGTTAGGCAGGTGGGTTGCAATGGCATATTTTAAACCCAATCCCCAAACCTCAAATTTAGAAGCTTCAATTCTATTTTTAGAAAATAGTAACTCCTCTCAAAATGTTCTTCCAAAGGGAAAAACATAAACTCACTTGCTACTGCATTTGTATCACAAATACAATAAATAAATAAATGCAAACTGTATTTGTATTGTCTTTCAGTTTAAGAACCCGATGGGGAAAAAAAAAAGTTATAAGGACATGATGGGACAAATTGGGGTATTTTCAGGCAGACCTATTAAACAACATATTAAGTTTAGTATCTTGGATGTTTTAGCAGATAATGGTTTTCTAGCAAAAAGTTTTGGTTCCTGGATCTGACTCCTGTAAACAGACACTCCCTCGGACAGGCCCAGGGGTCTGCGGGTGCATCGCCGCTCCTCCTTGCTCCATTTTGTTAGAATCGTTTTTCAAACCCATCTCCCTCTGGAGTGTTCTTCCTTGAGTCCTTCCTCTGCCAAGAGTTCCTGCTTCCCATTCCCTGCCTCCTGTATCTTTTTTTTTTTTTTTTTAAATACGGTAAGCAGAGTCACATGCCATTCAACAGGTTCATTCCTTGACCTCAGTTCCGAAAGCGAAAGCAACCAGTGGTAAAGGAGCTTTATAGATCCCAAAGCTATCTAATCTCAGCCCTTCTTCACCGCTCAGGGCCAAGAGGAACAGCTCAGGGGGTCCCCAGCAGTCTGATTTAAGGCAGGCAGGCGACCCCACATCACACAGTCACCACAGGAAAATACAGAATGAACAACAGCCAGAAAGCCTGTAAGAAGACAGCTCACACTTCAGAAGCACAGCCAGGGACACGCGGGGTCCATCCAGCATGAAGACCACCCCATACCTGCCAGAATTCAGGTCCTTCACGGCTCGGGGGTGAAGAGCCTCCTCTGTCTGATCAGCGGCAGCATTTCATAACTTTTTCATTTTTTTTTTTTTTTCAGGCACAAGTGCCTGGTGCCCTTAAGGGGAAGGAAGGGGTGGAGACTAGCGGCTGGGGGAGGAGCACTGGGATAAGCATTTCCTAAAGCTTCAAACTCATCCCACACCTGTGCTATTTAACTCTTTGTACACCAGCACAAACCCTAAAAGAACCTGTTCAGAGACCAAGACACCAAGATCCATGCTCAGCACTGCCAAGGGCAGGAAGGCAGGCACCCTGGGCAGCAACAGCGTGCTCGTGGGATGCAGGAGGCGCAGTTGCCTGCGAGATGAAGTTGTAAGAGCACTAAGAAATCTCAAAGGGCAGATCTTCCCTGCGGTGCCTGAGAGGCAGCTCCGGCTCCCCTGGGGGATGGGCCTGGTGATTTGTTGGGGGGTGATTCACCTGCCATGGGCAGTAGGCAGGGAGTATAGCTGGGGGCTGAAATGTTATCAAGGATGCTTGGGAGGGGACACTGGGGGAGCAGACTTGAGTCAGGTCTCAGAAGTCAAGCTCCTCCAACACCCCACACCTGATGAACATCCTTATTCCACTCCCTGCCATTGGGCCCCCACTCGGGCTCCCAGCATGTGGGGCCGACCCTCTTTAGCCAAGCTACCAAGGCCACCATCCTCTGTTGGTCTGCTTCCCCCTCCAGACTCCCATCACTCAGAGCCCCTCCTCTGCCTCTCCACAGAGGCCCTGCTGCCTCCTTCTGCCTCCCTCAGCTGTCCACTCAGGCAGAACCCACACAGAAAACATCCATGCAGCCCCCAGCACCACCCGCACCTGAGCCAAGCACTACATCCCAGGACAGCCCACAGTGACCCCATGCAGAGGCCATGGGACAGCCCTCCCTCTCCACTCAGCACTGTGGAGGCTGTGCCTCTGGGAGCAGGTGCACCCGTGGTTCCTTGCAGCAGCCCCATGGGTGGGCTCTCCTGGACTCCTACACGTGGTCTCTGCAGAGCTGCAGAGGGCACTGAAGAACACACTCTGCACACAGGATTTCTGAGTGTGGCAGGAGCCTGTGTGTTCAGCCCACAGACCTAGGCCAGGCGCCCTCTGTGGGCAACTGGCCCACACTGGTGGAGGCTGCCCTCCCACAGCCTCCCTGCCTCAGGCTGCAGCATCCTGCTGAGACAGGTGTGAGGAGGTCAGTCTCCATGGGTGCTAACTGTACTGGCTCACTCGCACATGTGCTCAAGCACTGCTCATGTGTTTATCGGTCACAGACTTCTTTCTTGGGGGTTGTTGGCTCATGATCTTTGGGCTATGTTCCCAGAATTCTTGCTCTTTTCCTGACTTCTGGTTCTTTCTGTATTAGGGAAATGAGTCTAGCATCTATAACCATTAAATACAGCTCTCTGGTTTGCAAGCTCTCTTGTGTGCATGGTGGTGGGGCTTCTCGAGTCTGCATCACACTCAGAGTCATACCAATAATCTGACTCGTCCATATCGGAGGCCTGACAGCTGTAGACCGGAGAAGCTCTGCTCTGCGGTCAGGGGCTGCATCCTGGCTGCAACGTGCAAGACTTGGGTCTCTCTCTGTGAAAGCCCTTTGCTCGTGTTTCCATAGCACTCGGTGAAGCTGGCATGGCAAGCCTGCCTTTATCAGAGAGGTGAAGCTGCTGCCCCAAGCCCTACCACAGGGTACAGAGGCACACTGGGGCTTGTGGAGGCCGGAAGCTGCTGTTTCGTCTCCCTACTCTGCCTTCCTCTACGTTCCTCAAAGGACAACATCCATACGCAGGAAAACAAAGGACAGCTCGGGGGTCGTTTGCAGCCAACCTCAGAAAATCAGTGACTCTGTTTCCCAGGTGAACTCAGTATTTCTGCAGCAGGCCACCAAGTGATCCAATTAAACTGTGACTCATCCTCCGATCTCAGAGCCAGTGTGCTCGGCAGCTGACAGGAGCCCATGTCCCCAGAGTGTGCCTTAAGCACACTGCACATTTTGATTGAGAAGTAAGAGGGGCACACAGTCCCAGATCCCGGACTCTCACGTCCTCCTGACCCGGAGTAGGTGGGGAAGGCGAGGCACAGTGGGTTACACACACGTGACACCCGCACCGCACGGCAGTCTCTCCACCTGCCCCTGGGTGCACAGATCATGGGGAAGCCGCCGCTGCTCCAGGGTTATGCTTATCACCACTTGGGACACCTACATCGCATATCACAGTGCCTGCTTCTGGTCCTGGCCCTGCCACCTACGCTTCCTGGAAGGTAGCAGGTGACCCTTGACACTTACACAGGAGCCCCAGATGCACCTGCCAGCTCCCTCCTCAGCCTGGCCCAGCCCTGAATACGATGGGCCTTTGGAAGCTGGACCAATAGATGGACAATTTCTCTACACCTGTTTGTCTGCTGGCCTTTCAAATAAAAATGAATAAAAATTGAAAATAAACAAAACCACTGGTTCAGGGGACAAGGGTTGCATCCAGACAAGCCCTGCAGGTCTCCAGCCATCCCCTCTGCCTAACTCCTCCACACAGCTCAGCGAGTACACGGCAGCAGCCAAGTCAGACCCTCAACGTCCTATCCCAGGTGTTGGGCACTCTCTGTTCCCTAGGACTCTACCCTTGCCCACCTGTGCCACCCCAGCTCACCAAGACGGCTTCCCCACATCCCTCAGATCTTTGTCTACAAGCCTCCTCCTCTAAGAGGCCTTCCCTGACCACCCCCAAAGCAGTTTCCCTTTTGAATGTCTCTTTAGACTTTATGACCATAACATTTCACCTTTGAAACTATTTGTTTCTTTACTGTCTGTCTGCACCAAAGTCCCCTGACGACAGGGACCGTGTCCAGATTCTCTTCTCTGTGTCACAATAAATAAATCTTAAAAAAATAAAAAATAAACAACAGCAGGATTGGAGCCTAAAGTGCCACCCAGGCTCGGGGTGAGGAGGAGGCACCAGTGCAGGTTTGGGGCTATAACAAAAGCACCACCGCCACACTGAAGGAGACCCGGGCAGCAGGCAGCGCCTCCGTGTGCGGTGGGGCACTGGGAGTGGACGACCTCCAGACAACCTTTTCAGTCTGTTTTGCTGTGACCTACCTCTCTGCTCTTAAGAGCGAAAAAAAAAAAAGAACAGGAAGAACTTGGCCCCAGAGTTCAGTGCAAAAAGGGAGCCCAGGATGACTCACAAGAGCAGGTGACAGAAGACTGGAGTCACCAGCAGGAGGCTGCACAGGAGGCCTGAGTGCAGGGGGCAGGCAGATACCAGGGGAGTGAAGCTGGGAGCAAGCTGGGACAAGACACGCACACACAGATGGGCTGGGACTACTAGACACACTTACAGAGACGGGCTGGGACCACCAGGACACGCATACACGGACCGGCTGGGACCACCCCTGGACGTCCAAGCCTGGCCAGGTTTCTCAGCCCAAGGTGACACACACACAATTCTTTGAGAAGTGGAGGAAATGTCCTAGTAATTCTTAAAACTTGCCTTGCGGAAGTACCAAGTGTAATCCCTGAGCCTTAGACATGAGTCAGCCTGCAGGCTCTATTGGCAAAGTTCTCAAAACAGCAAACAGTTTCTCCAAGATTTCCTCACCTTCAGGGAAATGAGCCAAATGCAGACAACACCTGTATCTGGTCCACAGTCACTAGGAGTCATCCTGTGGATTTCCCAGCCAGGGAACTTCTCTGGACATCTGACCGCCTGAGGACAGGCTTACTGGCTCAGGCTCCCAGTTATCCATACTGAGACCTGGAGCCCAGAGATGGGATCACATGCCTCCAAAGCAGAGCTGACCTGTAGGTGTGGCGGGGACAGCCCAGGTTCCCCAGCACCTCTCAAGCCCACACAACAGAAAGAAAAGAGGAACTAACTATACTGCAACACGCTTCTGTACTACGACTCACGCTTTTGTGGGTGTTTTCATTAGTGACTTCAGACCATATCGGCTCCTATAGGCACGGCCCTTAGCCCTTGCTGGACAGGGCTATGTAAGCCCAAGAGGAACTAGGAAGTCCCCACAGCAACAGGTGGGAAAGCCTGAAGAAGTGATGAGATGGGGGATAAGAAGCCCAGGAGCACCCAGGAGGCAGCCAGAAGCCAGGAACGCTGCGCAAGGGCTGAGGCCAAGATGAATGGGAGGGGACGCAGTGGGTGAGTCAGCCCTCCCAGGAGCAGGAGCCCCCACAACACCCAGCTTCCAGGAGCACGTGCCTTGATCCCCTACAGCAATACAGTGTGTCTGCTCTGTTTAACACCACACAGGGGTGCACTGGGCTCACTTCACAATCTACACATGGCACCTAGATCCTCTGGCACCAGGGCAGACATAACCAAGCCCAGTGACAACTCTGCTGGCCTCACCCCACAACACCACCACCCCCTTGAGGTCCCAGCCCCCATCCCGCAAGCAGTCTAACTTGTGTGCTCTGATCCCACTCCAACCCTTTGTCCCAGGCAGTTGAGACACCAGGTAGGACTTGAAGAGGAAGACAACAGTCAGGTCCCAGCTTCCTTTCAGGAAATGATCCCTCTGGGGTAACCTGGATGGAGGTGGGCAGAGGGGAACGATAAAGAACAGCCGCTGCTGTGAAAGTGCGTGCTGGCGGCCTGGGTCTGGGGGCCGAGAGAGAATATGGCAGAAGTGACAGAGTCACTGAGATGGCTCTGACTGGGTGAGGACAAGGTTTCCAGGTGGATTCACTGGCACCCTGGGCATTTATTCAGACGGGGAAGTGGCTGCTGGGACAGCGGGGCACAGGGGAGAAGTGATCAGGAGGGAAAACCTCTCGCTCCATGGTAGCTGCCTCTGTAAGACTGTCCCATGCGCTGGGAACTCTTCCTGAGTCTGCATTCACTGTCCACACAGGCGCCCTACGATGCTGCGGGAGGGAAGAGGAAGAACCAGGGTGCCAACTGGATTCATGTGGGGCGGGTTCATCACCACCTCTGCACCACACAAGAGCAAGAGACCCATGCCCAGCTGCATCTGGGATCTGCAGAATTACAAATCCTGGGGCCCAGCTCCCTGCTGGAAGAATCTAGGGAGGGGTGGAGGGTGTGTGTGTGTGTGTGTGTGTGTGTG